CTATCCTGGAGATAATTGGATGTAATCCAATTATCTCCAAGGACAGAGCCAAAACTCAATTGAACACATGGCAGCAAAAGACAATAAAATACATCAAAATATATAACTGTGCAGCCATTGCATAAAACAGGTACATTCAACATATCTCCAGATAGCTCAGATCTGAGTGCACATTATTACTGAATGACACTCAGATCACACACATACAGTTCAATTACCATGGAGCCAAAGTCTTTCCCATAGTCTTTCATTATACGAATGGGCTCCATGGCATAGCTATCTGGGTATCACCGCTCAAACAGGGCAAGCACTCAATGCTTTTGTGTCTTTGCAGGGGAAAATCAAGCATTTAAACATGGAGCCATAGTCTAAAGGCAGCAGGTGGGCAACCAGGCTCCTCCAATGCACAGTGGCGAGATTGGTCTCGTCACAACCTGCATGAAAAAATATTTTCATTTTCAAAAAGATGTCAACTTGCTTTAGAAGTTTTTAACTCCTGCTCTATACATTGAACTTTAATCACACACAGGAGGCTCCTGTAGGATCTAGAAGGCTAGAGATAAGACATTCTAGATTAAAGGACCATTAAAGGGACAGGAGCACAAACATAAATTATTTAGCCCCCGGCCCCACCTAGTCTCCTTAAAACTAATAAAAATCACCTTATTTCCAGCACTGCATGGATCCGCCAGAGCTGGCTCTGGCCCTGATCCAGCTCCTTGGCTGTCATCAGAATTGATGATCACCGCCAATCACAATGAAAACATTGGATTGGCTGAGATAGTCAATTCAGGCGGACTGGGGGTGGAGCCAAATGCCAACCTGGCCAGCCAACATTTCCTCATAGAGATGCATTGAATCAATGCATTTCTATGCGGAAAGTTAATCACCTCCACGTAGAGCATGGATATGCTATATTTCAGTGCTGCACAGTGTGTAGCAGGGCCTCAGGAAGCACCTCCAGTGGCCATTTGAGGAGTTGTCACTACAGGTGTCCATAGGCAGCAATGTAAACACTGCCTTTTCTCTAAAGCCTCCAGGGACATACTATACAACTACAATAAGCTGTACTTGTTCTGAGGACTATACAGCATACAGTAAACAGACTGTGCAATACAGAAACCTAAAATATCTTGGTTACTTTTCAGGAAGTGTATAGGGAGGCTGTGCAATCACATGCAAGGAGGTGTGACCTTTTCTGGATAAATAAACTAATTTAACTCCTAAATGGCAGAGAATTGATAATTGAGACTGCAGGGGAATGGTGTATACATAAAAACAGCTTTATTAAGCTAAAGTTGTTGTGGTGCCTATAGTGTCCCTTTAATGTAAGGGGGGTTCAAGTTGAGTGGGAGTTTGCTTCACACAAAAAAATGCTAGTATCATGTTTTAGCATCATGCATGGATATCGTAGTCCTGAGCAGCTGGAATGTTGATTGGCACTTATTTCATGACAGCTTATTGTTACGGAATATACAAGCTATAATTCATACATATTGTAGGAAATCTAAGTGATGGTAAGTAGCCTGTATCTTTTCTGGGATTTTTTTTCATAAGTGAATTTTCAGTTCTGACAGATTTTTCCACTATTTATCACTCTTGTGCCTTTTCCATAAGGATGGGGTTAATTGAGAAAATGTGTATATATGGTAATTAGCAAATAGGTGTGAGATGCGATGAATGGCAAATAATATGTTCCAGTATTTCAGAATTTAATAAGAGTGGGAGAATGTTGCAGCAAAAAGCAGTGGTGAGACCAAGAGTGTCGGCAATTGTCCATTAATTTGAAACCTGGACACACAACCAGTTTACTGGGGATATATCATTAGCACCTAAGCCCCAGGAATTGTGAATTTGAGAAAATAATGTATTTTGTATAGTGTTCTTTTCTTGTGTGTAGAAGAGGCTAGGATGTTAAACTGCTTAATGCCTTCCTATCTACTCAGTTAGATATGTGGATGTCCCAGTACCCTACATCGGGGATATGATTGATCTCTTAGGGCTAACCATATTTAAATGCCTTGGTAAGTAGTGATACATGATTAAATATTCCAGCAGGAGTAATGGTGAGGGATCAGGACTATATCATGCATATGACTTTACATGTTATCTTCTAAAATTCCACCATCATTGTGTATTTCTGCCATATACAGTTGCAAGAAAAAGGCAACATTTCATTCTTTGTGTGTTATTAGTTTAAGCAGACTGTGATTGTCTATTGTTGTGACTTAGATGATGATCACATCACATTTTATAACCAATTTGTGCAGGAATCCATATCATTCCAAAGGGTTCACATACTTTTTCTTGCAACTGTATGAAACATGCTTCCAATGCTCTGTGAGCATCTCTACCAGACATCATATCTAGATATGCAAACATTAAGAGCTTTAGTCGTCTAATACGTAAATTGCATGAATAATTTATATGCTATTTACTGGAGATGAGCTGAAATAGAGCATGTGCATTAGTAGCATAGTTTTAATCTATTGTATACTTTTTTTCTGCAAGGGTTATGTTGAGTTCTTCATGGAGAAAGTGAAGTGTATCTATTCTCCACTAACATTGTGTAGATGCTTTAAATTTATTTTGGTGGGTCATTCACAGTGAGCCTGAAATGGAATCAGTGATCTCATAAGGCTGTGTTGCCCTGATTTAGATGAAAGATGGTCCAAGATTTGTGAATGCATTAAAGGATGCTGAAACATCAATGGTATGTCAAGACGAAGGTGATCGTCTTGGGGTCTGAGTTTGGGATATTGATCAGGGATAATATGTGGCTCTTCAATCCCACTGGGGTTCACCCAAAGGAAATATAAGGGTTTAGAGTCTGCTGTCAAAAAATATCAGATTTGTAGTGTGGCTTTCACACTATCCGAGCCAAGTTACTACAGCTATTGGTAAGTCAAAGAGTTCATCCTTCATTGACCAGGTTGTTTGAATATTTTTGTCAGTCCTCCAATAAATAATCTTATAGACTTGTGCAACAGCATAATATTTCTTAATATCGGGGTATCCTAGCCTTTCTTTGTACTTAGTGTTTGTTGGGCATGACCACCCTAGGAAATGCAAAGGAAGGAACACTCTAACAATAGGAATACATTAGAGTGTTTTGCTAACTATTTAGATGTTCAGGAAAAAGGTAAAGTAAACCTTCTTACCATGGCCGCCTCTCCTCCCTTTGAAGACATCAGTATTACAGAATACGAAAGGGAATAACTGGGGGGTAATGCACATGCATGGCAAGTGGCTCAATACATTTTTATGGGGAGCGTTTTAAGTTTTCATACAAAGCAATGATTGCAGGACTACTCCAGGAAGTGCCTGTAGTGGCTGTCTAGTTCAGTTTAAAATGACTGGGTGTGATCTCAGGTGTTGCCATTTTCCAAGATATTTTAGCTTTATGTAGACAAAGCATGTTTCAAGGTGGACACCTCCATGGCTGGGACTGTGTTGTTAAGAATATCTGTTTTTGTGATTTTAATATTCTATTTAAAAAGCACTACATAATCTGAAAATGTCAACATCATGGCTATTAAAGATCTCTTTAGATTAAAAATAACAAACAGGTCATTCATATAAGTCATTACATTAGGGTTAGGTGCCCCATTCCAAATCCATGAAGTCGGAATTAGTTGATTTAAATGCTACAAAATTGGTTCCAAGGTAAGGATGAACAGAACTGGTGGCAAGGGGCATTCCTGCTGTGTTCCATTTTTTTTTTATTTCAAAGGAATATGTTAAAGATTCATTAACTCACTATGGCAATATCATACAGAGAATCCAAGAGAGGAACAGCATTTTAAAGTCTGGTTTCAGACTACTTTGATGAATCTCCCTCAACGTGTCTCTTTCTCCTCTGGCACTTACACTGTCTCAGTGTTCCCAAGTGTCCCTATGTCTCCCAGTGTCCCTATGTTTCCCAGTATCCCCTAGGGTCGCAGTGTCCCCATGTCTCCCAGTGTCCCCCAGTGTCTCCCAGTGTCCCCTAGTGTCTGTGTCCCCATGTCTTCCTTCCCTCACTTACCCGAGCTGTAGGCTGTCTCTGCAGGCTTGGAGCTGCTGTCTGGACTCTCTGTGCAGAGCTGCTCTTCCGCAGATCAGTGAGTAGAGAGAGGCAGGGAGGGAGATGCTGTAACTTCCTAACCCTGCCTCTCTCCACACACAGCGACCCGTAATGGCCTGCACTGGTATTGCAGGATAATCTCTGTTTATACTGAGACACACATTTGTATTGCCGGTATTACTGCAATACCGGCACCAGCTAGGCAGCCTCAAATACCAAAGAAATACCGGGCAGTTGGTAACCCTTAGAGTAGAGTGTAAAAAAAAAAAAAAAAAGTATATATATATATATATATATATATTTTTTTAACCCCTTAAAGACCAAACTTCTGCAATAATAGGGAATCATGACATGTCACACATGTCATGTGTCCTTAAGGGGTTAAACCAATAGGCCTATTCTATGGGCATGGGCCTGGAGCTGCAGCTCCATCAGCCCCAATGTTAATTCAGCCCTATCCAGTCCTGTCCTGTACTATTCCACGTATGGGGTTACCATTGTGGGTCTAATTTCTTATTATAAAACACACTCTCTCTGTTCCCACCCCTCTTGTTGGTCTGCTTTGCCTTTAAATGCTCTGCCAAATTTTTCCCCCAGTCTGGCTCTGGCTTTAAAGGAGTTTGGACAGATTTTTCATGAAATTGTAGCTTGGATTTAAATATATCCCTATTGTGTTCTTCTGCAATCTAAAACACGATCATGCAGCAACTTTCAGCAAACACCGTCACCAAAAATCAGCATGAAACATAAAGAAATAAACAGATAATAATTTTAGATAGTGCATATAATAATTTCAAGAACACCAGCACCACTAAATTAGTGCCAGTGGTGGGCCATTACTTTTAAAATGTATTATCTTGCAACCAGGGCCGTCTTTAACAAGGGGCAAACGGGGCAGCTGCCCCGGGCCCAGTTACTCCTGGGGGGCCCAAAGCAGCTGTCCCGTGGGCCCCCTGCCCGCAGCCAGGACTGAACAGCCCACCGGGATACTGAGAAATATCCCAGTGGGCTGCGGCAAGTGAAGTAATCAGGGCCCCCCGGCCCTTTAATGGAGCACCCGACCGGGCCCCTGTCTGTATGCCTGCTGGGAGGAAGTGAGGTGAGATCACTTCCTCCCAAGTAACAGAGTGCCGCTGGGGAGGAGGAGACACACATGGAAGTGGAGGAGAGGGAGGATGCACACACAGGAGGAGGAGGTGAAGGAGAGGGACTGAGGTAAACATGTTCATCAGACTCCCATCAACCTCAGCCATCCAGCTTCCACTGGACCCCAGGGAAGCCACCCTTCTCTAAAGGTAAGGAGACAAGAGGGTGGCTAGACTTAAATTGATATAAATGTGTGTATATCTGACTGTATGTGTATATCTGACTGTATGTGTATATCTGACTATGTATGTGTATATCTGACTATGTATGTGTATATCTGACTGTATGTGTATATCTGACTATGTATGTGTATATCTGACTGTATGTGTATATCTGACTGTATGTGTATATCTGACTGTATGTGTATATCTGACTGTATGTGTATATCTGACTATGTATGTGTATATCTGACTGTATGTGTATATCTGACTATGTATGTGTATATCTGACTGTATGTGTATATCTGACTATGTATGTGTATATCTGACTATGTATGTGTGTATCTGACTATGTATGTGTATATCTGACTGTATGTGTATATCTGACTATGTATGTGTATATCTGACTATGTATGTGTGTATCTGACTATGTATGTGTGTATCTGACTGTATGTGTATATCTGACTATGTATGTGTATATCTGACTGTATGTGTATATCTGACTGTATGTGTATATCTGACTATGTATGTGTATATCTGACTGTATGTGTATATCTGACTATGTATGTGTATATCTGACTATGTATGTGTATATCTGACTGTATGTGTATATCTGACTATGTATGTGTATATCTGACTGTATGTGTATATCTGACTATGTATGTGTATATCTGACTGTATGTGTATATCTGACTATGTATGTGTATATCTGACTATGTATGTGTGTATCTGATGACTATGTATGTGTATATCTGACTATGTATGTGTGAAATACTGACTATGTATGTGTGTATCTGACTGTATGTGGTATATCTGACTATGTATGTGTATATCTGACTGTATGTGTATATCTGACTGTATGTGGTATCTGACTGTATGTGTATATATCTGACTATGTATGTGTGTATCCTGACTGTATGTGTATCCTGACTGTGTGTGTATCTGACTGTGTGTGTGTATCCTGACTGTGTGTGTGTATATCTGAGGCTGTGTGTGTGTATCCTGACTGTGTGTGTATATCTGACTGTATGTGTGTATCTGACTGTATGTGTATATCTGACTATGTATGTGTGTATCTGACTATGTATGTGTGTGAATCTGACTATGTATGTGTGTATCTGACTGTATGTGTATATCTGACTATGTATGTGTATATCTGACTGTATGTGTATATATCTGACTGTATGTGTATCTGTCTGTATGTGTATATCTGACTATGTATGTGTATATCTGACTATGTATGTGTGTATCTGACTGTATGTGTGTATCTGACTGTGTGTGTATCTGACTGTGTGTGTGTATATCTGACTGTGTGTGTGTATCTGACTGTGTGTGTGTGTATCTGACTGTGTGTGTGTATATCTGACTGTGTGTGTGTATATCTGACTGTGTGTGTATCTGACTGTGTGTGTGTATCTGACTATGTATGTGTGTATCTGACTGTATGTGTGTATCTGACTGTGTGTATCTGACTATGTATGTGTATATATGACTATGTATGTGTATATCTGACTATGTATGTGTGTATCTGACTATGTATGTGTGTATCTGACTGTATGTGTATATCTGACTGTATGTGTATATCTGACTGTATGTGTATATCTGACTGTATGTGTATATCTGACTGTATGTGTGTATCTGACTGTATGTGTGTATCTGACTATGTATGTGTGTATCTGACTATGTATGTGTGTATCTGACTGTATGTGTATATCTGACTGTATGTGTGTATCTGACTGTATGTGTGTATCTGACTGTGTGTGTATCTGACTGTGTGTGTGTGTATCTGACTGTGTGTGTGTATATCTGACTGTGTGTGTATCTGACTGTGTGTGTATCTGACTGTGTGTGTGTATCTATGTATGTGTGTATCTGACTGTGTGTATCTGACTATGTATGTGTGTATCTGACTGTATGTGTGTATCTGACTGTATGTGTGTATCTGACTGTATGTGTGTATCTGACTGTGTGTGTATCTGACTGTGTGTGTGTATATCTGACTATGTGTGTATATCTGACTGTGTGTGTGTATCTGACTGTGTGTGTGTATATCTGACTGTGTGTGTGTATATCTGACTGTGTGTGTGTATCTGACTATGTATTTGTATATCTGACTGTGTGTGTGTATCTGACTATGTGTGTGTGTGTATCTGACTATGTGTGTATATCTGACTATGTGTGTGTATCTGACTATGTGTGTATCTGACTGTATGTGTGTATCTGACTATGCGTGTGTATCTGACTATGCGTGTGTATCTGTATGTGTGTGCGTTTGTATCTGGCTGTGTGTGTGTATCTGGCTGTGTTTGTGTCAGTGTATGTGTACCTTTGTGTCAGTGTTTATGTGTATCTATGTGCATGTATACCTGTGTCCGTGTACTTGTGTGTCATTTTGTATGTGTACCTGCGTGTCTGTGTATGTATATGAGTGTCAGGTTGTGTAAGTGTGTATCTATGCGTGTGGCAATGCATACGTTCCATCATTCCAGTACCAACACTGCACACATATACACTACTACATTCCAACGCTAACACTGCACACAAATACACCACTGCATGTGTATCTGTGTTCCTGTGTGTATCTCAGTGTTTGTGTAAGTGTGCATCTGTGTGGCAATGCATACATCCCAGCATTCCTTTGCCAACACTGCACACAAATACACCCCTGCATGTGTACCCGTGTGTCTGTGTGCATCTTAATGTGTGTCTATATCTGTGTCAGTGTGTGTAAGTGTGTATCTCTGTGTGTGGATGTGCCAGTGTTTTTATCTTTGTATCTGTGTGTGTGTGTGTATGTATGTATGTGTCTGTGTGTGTATACGCCAGTCTGTTTGTATCAGTCTGTGCATGTGTCCAGATGTGTGCATGTATCAGTGTGCTAATGTGTATGGATATCTGTGAATGTATGTCATACATCCAAGCAATCAAACACAACATGCAAACACAGCCCTGCAAACACAAACATTACATACAAACACGCCCCTGAATTCAAACTCAAAAAGTATATAGAAACACACCCCTTCACTCTAACACCAATACTACACCGTACATGCACACACATACTCTATACAACAACATGCTCACATTCAAATTTACAAACACTGCTCACAAATACAGCCCTGCAAGAATGGCCAAATGGTAGATCCCCAACTGGCATAGCATCGTGGGAATTGTACAACAGATGAGGATCTATCTTTTCTCCATTATTGTGCTAGATGGGAGGCCCAAAAAAATGTCTTGCACCTGGGCCTTCTCTACATTAGTTATGCCACTGTATTGGGGTGGAGGGCATGACTGCATGCCAGGGGGTGGAAATGTGTGGAGGGGAAGGGCAGGATCCAGGGGGCCCAAGCAAATGCTTGCCCAGGGTCCAATCAATGTTAAAGACAGCCCTGCTTGCAACACCACAAAGCACACTTCAAATACATTTTATCTCCCTTTGAGTCATATAGTTTATATATACATGCCTAGTGCACTACCACTAACTCACAACTGTAATCAACCTTAAATATATAACCCTAGTTCAGGAGCTAATCTATTATTTGAAGTACATGCTTGTTAAGTCATGTAATTTAGTTTCAGTCACCTGGCATGTCTTGGGTTATAAAAAAATATTACAGGATAAAGTAAGAAAATCTTAACGGTTTTAAGCAAACATCACATTTTCAACTCTGATTATTTAATTTACACATTTATTATTAGATTCATAAGAAATAATGGTTTTCATAAAAATGCTGTTTCCCTGTGGTCAAATAATTTTTTTGGCCCGTATCCCCCTCCCTCCTCTACTTACTAAAGTGAGATAAGCTCGAGAAGTTTCTCACACCTGAGAACATTTTCTTTCACACATATCATATATATATATATATATATATATATATATATATATATATATATTGTAATCTTTTTTTTTTTATTATTTTTTTTTTTACAGTGCACATAGATCTTACAAGCAGGCATGAGGTGCCCTGAAAGCAGTCCTCATGCATTTTCCTCGCAAAACATGCGGGACAAGGGTTAACAGGCACATTTTCATATTGTAATTAGCTTATATAGTCGAGTTTTAGTAGTAGGTTTAAACTGTGGTTAGGCTTGAACTAAGTTTAAGCTGGTCTATGGACAACACATTTATGCATATATATGACAGTAGCTAGGTCTTGTAATGTCACTTTAATTCAGTTTTCACCCTGGCCGTTCGGAACTACCAGTGCTGCCTCAGCGGTGAGCCGTCGTCGTGTTGTTGTTGAGACCTCAAATACAGGGGAGTGTCCACCAGAGCAGGCAGCAAAACACAGTCCAACTATGCCACTCTCTAAGCTGTTCGCCGGCTTCCTGGGGTTGCAGCTGTGGTACGGAGTGCTTGTCCTGCATGGTCCCCTGGAGGCCGGTGTCGGCCGCGATGGGGGTTTTGGTGTCACCCATATGCGGTTGCCGTTGCAGGGGTTGTGCTGTTGGCGGCTGAGTGGGAGGCGAGTAGGAGTCCTGTCTCTCTGCTGCGGTGTCGCTCTTGGTGATACTCGGTCCCTCTATGCGGCAACTGCCGGTCTGTTGTGTAGCCCCATCCCCCCAGGGCAGCCGCTGACATCGCTGGCTTGAGTGGCTGCGTTGGTGGGTAAAGGTAATCTCGCTTTCCTGTATGGCAGGGTCTGGAGGCAGGGGTTGCAGTGTCAGTTGTGAGTGCGGGGAGTGAGCTGGTTTTCCCCATGTCTCCTGCGCACATGGCGCCCGCCATCTTGGCATAGCTGTTGGGCCCCCAGGCCTTGATTGGGACATCAATGCCCTCTCATCCAGGGGACTGCAGCTCAATAAGCCAGCCTCACCCTGGATCCAGTGTCCCTTTAACTCCGTGGACCGCCGCTGATGGTTGGCATTAGTGCTGAAAATCATAGTTTCGAAGCTTAGAGTTTGGTGGCTTGCAGGAGTTCAGCGTGCATGCTGCCATCCAGCTCGGTGGTCCGGTCCCGCCCCAATATAATGTAATCTTAACGGAATACTATAGTGTCATAGTGTCAGGAATACAAACATTCCTGAAACTAAAGCCCTGATGTGACATGTTAGGCAGTAGGTAAGCT